GTGATCCTATACTATCCGGTTGGGGTGTGCTTGGCCATTCTTATGAACAGTGACAGGTTGTATATTGTTCATGGATAGAGGTCCACTATCTCCTCATAATTCTGAATGCGAAGTGGTCCCATCATAGGTCCTTAGTTGAACACTGTGTTCCATGTCCTCTCACTAACTGCAGAGGCAAGCGTAATGCTCCTTTCCCACTTGGTTAGAGAGTGAAGATGAATATTCGTAATTCCAAACTGGATGAATTTTGCTCATTTGGTTGAATAAGGTATATACGATCCCATCATTCTGAGTCTGGGCTGGTACCTCTCGGACTTCTTCAGGTGGAAGAAAAAGTTTTCCACTTCAATGTTGCTTATTTTCTCATCATAATTCTGGTTATCCAGAACACATCACTCTATGGCTACAGGTTAGGATCCAATCAAAAGTATATATATATATATCACATTGTGGTCCAATTGTCCTAGCCACCAACATGAAATATAGGGACCATGACCTCTTAATTCTTACCCCGAGTTGTGGAACCTCAGTTATCTGGTTGGGGCTGGTCTCTAATAATTACTGATGTACTATTGACTTGTATTGTATACCCTCCAATTAATGATGCTTGTCAAGTTGTCAACAAATTATTTATGGCTGGAAAGTGAGCCAATGTAGGCCCACAAGTAATTATGAATCTTTTACGGGATAACAGTTTGTAAATTCTGTTCAAGAAATGCAAACAGTTAATATAATATATCCTAAAAGCTTAAAATACTGTTACCTTGTTGGTGATTATTGAACTTGTTTTCTTGAACAAAATTCAAAGCCTTTGAAAATGGAGAATCAAAAGCTATAGATATCTTCAATCTAGCATATCAACTTAGTTCTAGTCATATTCTAGGACTACTGCTTGATCATATGATAAAAAAGTGGTGTGCTGGGTGAAAGCCGTGAAGGAGGAGCTTGGCTGAAAACAAGGAAATAGACATGGTATTTAATGAAGGATTAAAAATATAAATCTGATTGAAGACAAGAAACTTACAGACATATTATAACAAGTTTGAAGGAAAAGGACATTGAAAAAGTCAAAAATGAAGTAGTAAAAAGCATCATTGGCATAGAAAATTAAATCAGTGGAAAACGAATTATTAAATGCAAAGATTAAACCAACTACATCTTTTTTCTGCATTTGCTCAAGAGTTTTAATTGAAAACACCATTTACTACCAGATATGGAACAGAAGAACTTATTTGGTGTATAGCTGTTACCATTACTGCTGTGTCACCTGTTACTGAAGAACCTTCCTGGACTACCTCAGTCATGACACTACCAAAATTCAATTCCAGAATTTACCTGGCCAGTTGAACTATGACTAATGGAGAAACCAATAGACTATGATGAAAAGGTACCATGGGTATCATATCAGGCTCAGTTAGAAACGAGTGGAATAGAACAAGCCACCAATCTTGCTGCCTATTTAAAGAATCAGTTTTAATTACATTAAATAACCTTCCAGCTGAGAGTCATGTCAACTATAAAGGATTGCTAACCCATTTATCCAACAAGTTTGAGGTATGACACCAGAAAGAAGTATCCAGAGAAAATTTCTGGAATAGGATATAGAGAAAAAAGAGACTTTAGCCAAACTTGCACAAGATTTGGAAATTCTTGCCCAGTTATCATATCTAAATGATCTTCATGAAATGATGGATTCATTGGCATGTAACCAATTTATAGACGCCATAGTAGACAAAGATATGATAATTAGACTGATGTAAAGGAAGCTCTGCAGTTGGTAATGAAACCTGAATTCATAAAGGTTGCTGATAAACTACTAATGGCACCATCTAGAAGTTATGGGAATATTAGGACCTGCAACATTGAAACATCAACTCCTCACTAACAATAGTCTAGAAGAACTGAAAGACCTAATCAGATGTATGTTATTGTTGCTGTTATTTTCTTTTTGCAAAGTTATACAATGGACTATCTGCACTCTGTCCGCCACTGGTAATCGAACTCTGGATTGGTAAGTCCATAGACTTACTGCTGACCCATCAGTAAACAAGATGGCTTGTTAAACAGAACAGAGGAAATAAACGACAAGATAATAGATGTTTCAAATGCAACATATTGCCAGGAGCTTCAGACAAAGATCTGTATGGAATAAGAGTTCTTAAAGGATACCAGAAAAAAGAAAACTGTTGTAAATGTGGGTAATCTGGCCATTACAGCCGAGACTTAAGGAATCTAAAGTTGTTATCGAGCCAAGGAGACAGAGCTAATGAAACATCAAGAAAACAGGAATTAGTTGGATTTATATGGCAGAGTTCAGCTGGAAATACTCCATCTATTATAAATGAAAAAGGGGTTTATTAGTTGAAAAACATTGTCCACGAATCCATGAATATATTGATGGGAAACCTTGCAGTATACTGATTGACACTGGCTATACACCTATAATTGTTTGTCCCAATTTGTTAATGAAAGATGGAAAATTGCCTTAAGAGGTGAAGAAAGAAGAGGGATTGATGTGAAACAGAGTTGGTAACAAGTCATTTTTTGCAAGTCAAGTCAAACTGTTTCAAAACTTTTATTTTATAAAAAGTAGGTTCCTTTTCATCAAATTTACATATTGTTGCGTCAGCGAGGTCACGTGACCAGTGTGACGCCACCTATTTTCTAGAAGTATCTTGTTCCTTCGTGAATGCCCTAGCATTTACTAGATATATGTTTTTCTGGTATATAAATAAGACGCTCATAACGTGACGGGATAATGTGTGTAGGTAGTGAGTAATTGATCTGCAGTCAGAGTATTGTTGAAATTAACGTTCGTTATAGCGTTTGTTATAGAGCGACTGTTGAAAATAAGTGTATCGTAAAGTTGTATTCGGAAAGAATAAATCAGTTTTATTAAGTAAGTGTGTCGCTAAAGTTTCGTCCGAACGAAGCTACGGAAAATCAATTAACAAACGGAGACGTAACAATACTAATATCAGGAGCTAATAGCAGATTTATTATCTTTACTAACTTCAACGCTTCGGTATTTGATCTTCATTATAATATTTTTACCCTCATCCTAACACGCCACAAAGTTGGTATGAAATATATATATATTGTTAGTTGTTTTTAAGCACAAAGTTTACATAATAAGCTATCTGTGCTCAGCACACCATTGGTATCAAAAACAAATTTTCAGAGTCGTAAGCATGCAAACTTAACGCTAAGCTGCTGGGGGACATTCTTTTTAGAGTTACTGTATTTAGAGTTTGAACAAAGAAACAAGCCAAACTAATCTTGTGAGGTGTATTAACCCATTCATAAAATGCATCTGTTCAATAACGTTGATTAATACACATTAATTTAAAACTAAATCTAAAAACAACCCTGACCTCTAACAAACCATTATATATAGACTCTTTTTAATTTCATGATATTATTACTATCAACGATCATAATGATTTTTTATGGAATAATAATTCAATAAATCAGGGCAAAAAATACAAGACACATAAAAGTATAAAACATGTTTTATGAATTTTCCTATAAGTTGCACTTCCGGGATCATTTTTACTATTTTATTTTTGGTGTATAAGTATTATACTGACTGTTAGTTACTTTTATCTGCTTAAGAAAAATAATGTTTTCAGTAGTACATACGCTTTAGAAAGATCATTATTTTAAAATATACACCTGGAAAAAAGTTAAGCACCCCCAAATATTTTTCAGGATTGCTTATTGAAAATAAGGTTTAATTTTCATGATGTTGAGCAATGTTCATAATTTCAAACATAATTAAAAGGATGTGAGCGTTCAGGTGTGACATTTAAATC